CATGTTATTATTATTAGTGGACATGTCTTCATTTTTTTGTGAAATTAATTGTAATGATGACAAATATCAAAATCAGTTCGAAAATAATATATAAAAGATATTTGTATAAAATAAAATACTGATAAATATTATTTTGCATGTAGAGAGAATATTGACCGTTTCCATTTTACCCCAATTTTTTTTAAAAATACCATAAACATTAGATTTACATGGGGTTTTTCTACAGATATAAGAAAGGTATTTCTTGTCAAAAATATTATAAGAAGGTTTAATTAAATGATTTATGAATATTTCTTAAACATTTGGTAACATTTTCCGAAAATAGTTATAGAGACCTAAAATATGCAATGAGATTGAATTACCGGATCTGGGTGATAATTACAGATACAAAAACTATTTTATTGTATTTTATTTTATTGTTAAATTGCATATTTAATTACAAACGCTGGAGATAATAATAAAGAATTGTACAAAAAATCCAGTATAATAAGAATTGGACTTTTCAGACAAAGAAAATAAATTAATACAGCCTGCCGTCAAAAATACATAAAAACTTTCCTATAAAAAAGTGTAAAGAGAGGAAAATGCAAAGAAAGGAGGACTCTCTTCTTCTGCTTATTCTCTCCTCTTTATTAAACAAGTTGTTCACTTCATCACATGCTCCTCGTCTCTCTCTCTCTCTCTCTCACTCAATCAAAAGTTTCAGTTACGCAGCTGCTCAGACTCTGATCTCATCACTTTTTTTTTCTGTTAAAACAAACTATCCAGTTTTCATGGAAAATTTAATGAAACAGTGACGTCTCAAAAATCATTTCTTCTTTGTCATTCTCCTACTCTGTTTTTTTTTAATCTTCTATATAAAAATTCATTCATGGCTCCAAACACAGTGGCAGTCACAATGGAGAAGCCAGACAACTTCTCTTTACTCGAGATCAACGGCTCAGATCCATCCTCATTCCCCGACAACAAACGCAAATCCATCAGCCCAAAGCAATTCTCATGGTTCCTCCTCCTCAAAGCTCACAGAGTCGTCTCTGCTCTCTCATGGCTCCTCGCTTCAGTGAAAAAGCGTCTCGCTTTCTCCTCAAAGTCCATAAACGAAGAAGAAGATCCCAAAAGCAGAGGCAAACAAATGTACAGATTCATCAAAGCATGCCTTGTCATCTCCGTAGTCGCCTTGTTGATAGAAACCGTCGCTTATTACAAGAACTGGAACCTAGATCTCGTGAACAGACCCTCTTGGGAGGTTCGTGGGCTTGTTGAGTGGTCTTACATGGCTTGGCTCTCGTTTCGGTCTGATTACATCGCTCCTATTGTCATCACTCTCTCCAAGTTCTGCACTGTCCTCTTCTTGATCCAGTCTCTTGATCGTTTAGTCCTCTGCCTCGGTTGCTTCTGGATCAAGTTAAAAAAGATCGAACCTAAGCTCAAAGACGATGAACTCGATCTAGAAGACCCATCAAACTTCCCTATGGTTCTTATTCAGATCCCAATGTGCAATGAAAGAGAGGTAAACTATAAAAAAACTCTGTTTTTACTCTGTTTACTCTGTTTTTATGCTCTGTTTACTCTGTTTTTATGCTTTGTTTACTCTGTTTTTCCTCTGTTTTTATGCTTTGTTCTGTAATTGTTTATGTTATGTTCTTGTTAGGTGTATGAACAATCAATAGGAGCAGCATCACAGCTAGATTGGCCAAAGGATAGGATCTTGATTCAAGTTCTTGACGATTCAGACGATCCAAACTTACAGCTTCTGATCAAGGAAGAAGTAACTGCTTGGGCAGAGAAAGGAGTGAACATTATCTACAGGCATAGGTTGATAAGAACTGGTTACAAAGCTGGGAATCTAAAGTCTGCAATGACATGTGATTACGTTAAGGATTACGAGTTCGTTACCATATTCGACGCAGACTTTACGCCAAGTCCTGATTTTCTCAAGAAGACTATTCCACATTTCAAGGTAAATTAATCGATCAATCACACTCAATCTATTCTAACTAGAAAAGGAAAATCTCTTTCTTGAAGTTTCGTAATTTACGATGATGTTTCAAGAAAATTCAGAAAAGATTTAATTCTTTCTAATGGTAAGATGATTCCAATTATACTCGTCACCGACAGTTGTCACGTTTCTATTTTTTAATTCTAACGTTATGGGTGGGTCATGTTCAGTGTAGCCGACAAATATAATATATAGTTTTTAGGAAAATATAAGCTGGTGTGCTATGTATGAAATCAAAGTAACCGACAAATATAAATTTACAAAAATCAACACGGCGTTGGTTGATTTTCACATCACTTTTCTACGGATTAAAACTAGAACCAAATCTTGACTCTGTTTTCTTTAATAATAAAATAACACATATGCATTTATTCTTTAAATATACACGTTTGAAAAAAAATCATAAAGATAATATTTATTCACATATGTATTTGTTCTTTAAAGATACACGTTTGAAAGAAATTCATAAAGATAATATTTATTCACATATGTATTTTGTTCTTTAAAGATACTCGTTTGAAAGAAATTCATAAAGATATTTTATAGTAACAAATAAATTTCCATTATTTAATATATAAAATTATATTTTTTAATAAATTAATTAAGTTCATTAAACTACTATTAGTTTAATTTTATCAAAAAAATTGGTAATCATATAAAATGATGCATTTATGATAGAAATTTAGTGCTGTTTTAAAATGTTTGAAAAAACATAAAAATGGATCATGGAAGTAGTGTAAGAGCTCGTAATTTATATTTTAGTAAAAAATTCAATAGTTTTAGTTTACAAAACTGTATTTTATTACTTAGTTAAAATCATATATTAATGCATTAAGCTAAAAAAGTGTGTTTATGTATTGTTTGTTGCAGGGGAATCCAGAGCTAGGATTAGTCCAAGCAAGGTGGTCCTTCGTGAACAAAGATGAGAATCTCCTGACAAGGCTACAAAACATTAACCTATGCTTCCACTTCGAAGTAGAACAACAAGTGAACGGTGTGTTTCTCAACTTCTTCGGTTTCAACGGAACCGCAGGAGTCTGGAGGATCAAAGCATTGGAAGAATCAGGTGGGTGGCTCGAGAGAACCACAGTCGAAGACATGGACATCGCGGTCAGAGCTCATCTCAACGGTTGGAAATTCATTTACCTTAATGATGTTGAAGTCACTTGCGAGTTGCCTGAGTCTTATGAAGCTTACAAGAAGCAGCAACATCGTTGGCATTCCGGTCCTATGCAACTTTTCCGGTTATGCCTTCCTTCTATCATCAAATCAAAGGTAAATAAAATAAAAATTCAATTTCTATAACTAAATGTTTTCAAATATTACAATATCTGAAACAATTAATAAATAATTACTACATATATTTTTCTTAATAAATTTAGAAACCGAATGTTTGGGGTCATAAGCGAATGTTTCATCTTATTACAAGCTCTGGATGGACAATTAATATGAATAAGACCGAAATATACTAATATTTGGGGGTTATAGGCGAATGTTTCATCTTATTATAAGCTCAGGACCGGTAATGAACATGAATAAGACTGAATTGTTTGTTTTTCTTATTTTTGATTTTGCAGATATCAGTAGGAAAGAAGGCAAATTTGATTTTCCTCTTCTTTCTTCTAAGGAAGCTTATTCTACCCTTTTACTCATTCACACTCTTTTGCATCATACTTCCATTAACCATGTTCATACCTGAAGCTGAGCTTCCTTTGTGGATCATCTGTTATGTTCCTATCTTCATTTCTCTTCTCAACATCCTCCCTTCACCTAAATCTTTCCCTTTCTTAATCCCTTACCTCCTTTTCGAAAACACAATGTCCATAACCAAGTTCAACGCCATGATCTCCGGGTTGTTCCAGCTTGGATCGGCTTACGAGTGGGTTGTGACCAAAAAGACTGGGAGATCATCAGAATCCGACTTGCTAGCGTTTGCTGAAAAGGAAGAGAAGTTGCATAGGAGGAACTCGGAGTCAGGTTTGGAGCTTCTGAGCAAACTCAAGGAGCAAGAGATGAAACCAGAAACCCCGAAGAAGAGCATTGGAGGGCTAGTGAGGCCGAGTAACAAGATCAAGAAGAGGAACATGGTGTTCAAGAAAGAGCTAGGGCTTGCGTTCTTGCTTCTAACCGCAGCTGCAAGGAGCTTTCTGTCAGCGCATGGTCTTCACTTCTACTTCTTGTTGTTTCAGGGACTGTCTTTCTTGGTCGTAGGGTTGGATTTGATCGGTGAACAGATCAACTAGACACACACATAAAGCAAAGACAGAGAAGAAGAAGAAGAAGGGAGATAAACCCGTTTATATTCGGTTATTTTTTTGTTTGTTTTTTATTCTTTTCCCTTTATTACATGTGGGTTTTATACATAATTTTCAAAACTCTTATAATGTCCAGTTTCTGATAAATGAGTGAAACGATTAATTTGTTATATGATCTTGGCCTAATGGTTAATTATGTACAAAGAGTGGTTTAAGATTCTGCTAATGATCAGACTGAGAGATGAGCCAGCAGGGTTTTGCTAACACATTTACCATAATCCTTTTGGAAATTTATTCGCTAATGATGCTAAAGTGTTCCCAGGAAAGTGCCAGCCAAACCAAAAGAAAATAAACCAATCAAGTAGAATAGTCATGGTATTATATATTGTAACCATGACACACTTTATGTTTGGTTTACATGAAAAATACTATGTATTTGGTCTTAACCTCATTTGCTTATGAACATAATTCGAATGATACATTAGTCATTTAATTTTTAAGACTTCACTCTAAACCACTAAATATGCCATTATCAATTTGAAAAATTAGAACACTAAATATAAGACAATTTGTGTACTAAATAAGATAAGGGAAAATGTAATATTAGTTTATTTTCTTTTTTAAGGATTCAAAGAAAATAGGCCCAAAACGGGCCTAGAAACATCTAAACCGCGTTTTATCTAAAAAGAAAATAAAAAAACAAGAATTGTCAAACAGAGGAAGAAACCAACTTGGAGAAGGCTGGCTTTACCTTCAAGTCAGACCAAACTTCTCTCTATATATATATCTCTCTGCACATTCATACGTTTCTCAGAATCAAAAACAAACCAATCGAAACGAGAAGAAGAATATTAACAAGAAAGAAGAAAAGCTATGACAGGAGGAAGAGGAACAGAAGCGTTTCCTGATCTTGGAGAGCATTGCCAAAACCCTGACTGCAAACTCCTCGACTTTCTCCCCTTTACTTGTGACGGTTGCAAACTGGTAAACATTCCCGGAAAATTTCAATTTTTTCTTTTCTTTTCGCGCAAGAAACTTTCAACTGAATGCTTTTTTTTTTCTTGAATGAATTCTTTAGGTGTTTTGTTTGGAGCATAGATCATACAAGTCACACGATTGTCCAAACTCAGACCACGGAAGCAGAACAGTTTCCATCTGCGAAACATGTTCTGTAGCAATCGAAACAACTGGTTTCGACGAACAAGGAATCAAGTCTTTACTTGAGAGACACGAAAGATCTGGAGATTGTGACCCAAGAAAGAAGAAGAAACCAATCTGTCCTGTTAAGCGTTGCAAAGAGGTTTTGACATTTGCGAACAACATTACTTGCAAGGATTGTGGAGTTAAGTTTTGTCTGAAACATCGGTTTCCGACGGATCATGTTTGTAACAAGAAGACTGTTGCTAACTCATCAGGAGCAAGGTCGAGGTGGAATGAGAAGTTTATGGAAGCTTTGAGTTTGAGGAATGAGAAAGGATGTGGAAGAGGAACAACAACTTCTGTTTCATCAAGTTCTTCTCCATCGATTAGGTCCTTTTAGTTTTTTTTTTCTTAATTGCATCAACAAAAAGTTTCTCATGTATGATTAATTCTCCTTTGTTTTCAAGAGCATCCTAATATTTGCTTAAAACCGATGTATGTTACAATATACAAAACGAGTGTATGTGCCCATCCCTGTTTGATGTAAAGACACATATTCTGATACTAGCTGTGGTTTCTTTTATTTCTTCTGATGTAATAGTCTGCATTACATCAAATGATTGATGTTTGTGTTTATTAGTATGTAACAAGAAGATATGTTTATAGGCTTTTGCCAGGTAAATCATTGTCAGGAGTTGTGAAAAGCATACAGCACACCTTTCTGATGAACCAAGAGAGTCAAATTTTAGCAGAAAATTACAGAACCATTGTCTGAATGGTTTACATACACAAATTCTATACTCAAGCAATCACCAGAAGAACATAAAGGCTAGATATCTTCATCTATAGAAAATAAGAAACATGGTGCAGCAACAAAGCTAAAAGGCAGAGTAAAGAGGTTCCTACCTCTCTTTCCGTGAAACATAAGGAATAATACCAAAACCTCCTTGTCCAAATCTCAGCAGATTTAGCATCATAATGTCATAACAAAGAGAGAGGAATCAGACTGCAAATGCTCTTTTTAAGAATCATCAGAATTACACATGCAAGGGTCAAGTGGTGCACCATATGAATCTATATGATCAGCCAATCTTCTATTTGATATATCTTTAACACTAGCCATGAATTTTTTTTTTTAAAAACACAGCCCACAATATTTTAGAAACAAAGTTCCAGCAAAACCTCTACTAGATAAAACACATGCAAGGAAATATAACATCTTACAGAAATGAATGCCCTTACCCTAAACATGTAATATGTTTGTCAACTCATTGTTGTTTCTCATTTTCCATTTGTTTCATTACTTTGTAGTGCAAATACTAAGGATACTATGACAAAAGACTGGCACATAAACACAAGAGACTTCTTGAACAAAATCAAAGCACTCATAGACCAAAGGAAGACTTAAATCCTCAATGTATTTCAGTTTTATGTACATCAAAAGAAGAGCAAAACTTTGTACGAACAAGAAAAAATATAGAATGAATCAAAGAATTTCTAAGTCTTGGTTGTATTGAAGATACTGCCTCTGTGACTTATGCAAATCATAAGGAGCCCATAAATAATCAACAGGACACGCCTTACCATCATCAAGCCTCACCCACGGCTTCCCTTTCCCACTCCAATGTAACAAACTCACCGGACCAGGATGCAAAGACCTACAACTACTCACCACATTGTCTCCACCTAGACCATGCTGGTTCCACTGATGATCAATACCTTCAATCTCCCCCGCAAACACCAGAAGAAACGGCGGCAACGAACCCAATTCATAAATCCTCTCCTCTTTCTGAATCCTCATCCAGTTCTCGATCTTTCTCGTGTACTCTCCTTCTCTCCACCTCACTAAATCTATCACCATCACTCCCGTGTTGAAGTAGCAAGCCCTCTTGGAGTCAAACACGCTCGAGAGTTTTGGATCTGACCAGAAACGTTTTGAGAAGTACTTGGTGAAGTTGGCGTGGCCAGGGCCGGCCCTGAGATTTTGGGGGCCTATGGCGATTTCTATGTAAAAAAAAAATTTGGGGGCCTAAAAATTATTTTTGGGGCCTATACTCATGCAATTTTCTTAAAAATTTTTGGGGACCTGAAACAAATGTTTCATTAGGCATTGTCCAGGGCCGGCCCTGGGCGTGGCAATACTCTGGCGCGCCGATGGTTCTTGATCCGGTTAAAGAAACTTGCCATAGCTTCTTGATATCGTCGACCACGATCACATCTGAGTCCAGGTAGATCACACGATGAACACAGGAGGAGAGAATCTCTGACAAGTAGCTTCTTGCGTAGTTCAAGGGGTTGTCGAGAGCTTGTCTTATGGAAGAAGAGATGAGGTTCTTGACGATGGTTTCGTCGAAGGTGTAGAGTTTGAAACTCAGAGAAGGGAAAACAGAGGAGAGAGTGTTTGCGAGCGGAGGGCTCGAACCTGACGCGATGAAGTGGAAGAAGATGTTTTCAGGGCAAGAGGTGTGTTTGAGGATGGAGTGGACTGCAGAAACCGTGCCACGCAAGTAAGCTGGGTCTAGAGTCATTGCTATGTGAACAGCTGAAGGGTCGCAAGCTAATAAGAGTTTGTTTTTGGGTAAAACAGAGCATTTTGGTCCGTTTTGGTATGCTGGAGCCTCCATGAAATCTTGAGATGCGTCTTTGAATGATGATTTTTCATCTGGAACTAATCGGATTGATCCGACGGTGAAGAAGGCTGCAGAGATTATTGTGAAGATTATTAGTAGTCTTGAAGCAAACATCATCGGAAGGAGAAGTGGTCGGTTTGAAGAGGTTTTAAGATCTCAAAGCAAAGGTATTTTAAGTTTATGGAGGAGAGATGGAGACAGAGAAAAAGGACGAGGAAAGAGTACGAAGACAAGAACTGAAACGCGGTTTTGTAAAGGAATGAAACACGGTGGTCAAAATTGAGCTCGTTTGAAAAGTTGAAACTCGTTTCTTATGTCACTGTCAATGTTCTTTTTGTAGATACTTTTTTCTCTTTTTTTATTATAATCTTTCTAGAACATTTCTTTTGAGATACGGCAAGGTACAAAGTAAAAAGTTTGAGTTTATATTTATAACATTCATGGTACGTGAATAGTAGTGTTCATTGTATATGGAAAACATTAAGGATACATTGATGACCATGATAACATTGAATTTACATACATTTATTTCCTTACCTGATTATCTATGCACACCATCTAGTTAGGAAAATCGATTGTTCTAGGAGTAATATTTGTATATTTATTGGCAAAGTCAAGCCGTTTCAGTATGGTCATCTCTATACTAATTTGCAAATGCTGTTGGGAGTATCTAGTCTTTTAATATCCATAATATATTTTATTTTTTTAAACACAAAATTACTTAGATTAAAATAGCATCTCAAGAAAACTATCCTGAGAGGAGTTCAACTTGAAACCAGTTTTTAATCTTGAAATTGAACTTGAATTCAGTGTTCAGATTGGTTCATAGTTTACAACAATAAATGTTGAGAGAAGGGTTTAACAAACCTATCTTAGTCAATATTGACATAAATTCTTAATAAATACTAGTATCAATACTAATTAATAACATAATTAACTGAAAACGCATGTAAGTGTAGGCATTACACGCATAGACATAAATGTTTGATATAAAAGGAAAGCATGTTAGGTTGTAGAAAACAAGCATCGTAGAGTATGGGTTGATATGGGTCCAATGAACACATGGATCCATGTGCTTTTCTACTTATTTCGATATACATATATGTAAACTTAATGTTTTCAATAGTATATAATTATTGACTGACGCCCAAAAGACATTAATATATTTTAATGGTCAGCTCAAATTCATTGGATATAATGCTCTTTGTATAGAATAATATTAACTAGATGCTTGAATTTTACTAAAGCATGTGAGTATACCTCGTTTAGATGGATTTTATTAGCAGGTTTTCATCCTTTTCTATGAGTAGAATTTGTTGTTTCCTTGAGTAGAAAAGCTTATTCTCTGATACTAACAATGATATACTAATTGTAGCATCCTGCCAAATAAATATAATCGTTGCAAATTTCTACGAGACTACGACTATACACACATCTTATATTATGTTATCGTTGGAACGTTAACTTTTATATGTAACACATTAGCAGCTTTGGAGGACAAAGTGGATTACCCACGCCCACGTATAGTAACATGAATAGACGGTATTTGATACACAAACTTACCTATAGCGGTTGAGGGTTGAGCTAAAGAATATCCCGAATATTTGACAGTTCTGAAAGGGGAAAATGGTTGATAAGGTGTATTATAGAGTTTTATCAATAACATATAAACACATTGATAGAATGTCTTTTCAACTCGTTAAAGCATTTCGTATAAGAGCTATAATGAAACATCCCTCGTCTCGGACCTTTTCCCATTTTGAGTACCAATAATTATTCCATGTTTTAGTATATGTAAACCATATAAAAACTAAAGAGAAATAACCTATGATAGCACTAAAAATTTTAATCATAAAAATAGCACATAAAAAGATGATTAAAATAGTTTTCAGTAAAAAAAAGTTAAAATACACATATGTGTAGGGTTAATTAATCAATAATTCGAGTTTTGTTTTTTAGGAGTGGGGGTGTAGATTTCAGAATTAAAGTTTAGGATATATAATTCAACATTTAGAGTATTGAATTTAAAATAATAAATTAAAAAACATTCTAAATATATTATTTATTAAAAATCATTTAATCTTTTTACTCTATAATAAAAACTACTTTGGTTTATTTTTCTTATGTGCTATTTTATGATAATTTTTTTTTTGTGTGTTTAGGAGAATTTTATTCAAAATAAATAGAGCCAATTAGATTTTATGTTCAAATAGAAAAAGACATTTTATAGTGCAGAGTTGTTGCTCCAACATCTTGATACCCGGAACTCTATACAATTATTTTGTGTTCAAAGAATCAAAACAGCCATTAGCCATTCACTTGTTTTCATTATGTGTTTTTATGTAAATCAGGCATCTGCTCTCTTAATAAAATTGGTTTTAGATAACATTTTGTTTGCAGTTGTTTATTATAGCTAGTTAAATTGATAAATAAGAAGAAATAATGTAATGTCTAATACAGCTGTATGTGCGGCTATGAGTTGGCAAAAATCAGTATTCTTTGTCATGACTCATGAGTATATACATCTCACTTTGGAATTATGTTTACCTAATTACAAAACTTTCTAACATTACCAATTCTAGCCACTTCTTATAAATCGAAACAAACGTTTGGTACGTCTGCTACGAGCTGCTTTCAATAGACGAGTTGGTGGAGATTAGTTGATAATAAAAATTACCATCTTACATACTTCTCTTATGGTGTTGTGATTCTGCGAGTTAAATCAACCTAAATGAAAACATAGATTTGCTTTAGTATTGGAAATTTTGTAGCCTTTAAAACATAAGCGTTCAAAACATCTATATCACTGGTTACAGATAACGAAATAGCGTTTATATAACATGTTCAGTTTCATTAGAAATATGGCTGTTACTGTTGTTGTCCCCTTCGCTTTATTTGTCTCCAATCAGCATTATTCAACAAGTTGTTCTCTGAAGACTAACCAATGAGAAGTAAACACCTGTCGATCCTTTTGCCAACAAGGACGAATGGGTCCCGCGTTCCACGAGTTTCCCTTTGTCCAAAACCGCGATGGCGTCGCAATTCTGAATCGTGCTCAGCCTATGCGCGATCACAACGCTCGTCCTTCCCACCATCACGCGCTCTAACGCGTCTTGCACCACACGCTCGGATTGGCTGTCCAAAGCGCTCGTCGCTTCGTCGAGTAACAACACTGACGGATTCTTCAAAACCGCTCTAGCGATCGCGATCCTCTGTTTCTGACCACCGGATAACTGTACACCTCTGTCTCCGCAGGACGTTTCGTAACCGTCCGATAAAGACGTAATGAAATCGTGAGCGTTCGCTGCTTTCGCGGCCTCGATGATCTCTGATTCGTCGATTTTATCCGAAGCTCTTCCGTATATAATGTTCTCACGTATCGTTCCCGCGAACAACGTTGGCTCTTGACTAACCAAAGCTATGTGTTGTCGGAGCGATCGTAGATTATACGATCTTAAATCTCGACCGTCGATTCTCACAACGCCTTTAACCGGGTCGTAAAACCGTTCTATTAAACCGATAACCGTGGATTTACCAGACCCGCTTGGACCAACTATCGCAGTAGACTTCCCTGCGTCGATATCGATAGAGAAGTCTTTAAATATCATCACATCCGGTCTAGTTGGGTACGAGAAGTCCACATCAAGAAACTCGACCCGACCGGTTAATCTTTCCGGTTTATATCCATCTGGATCCTCCGGATCAATCGAAGTGAACCGATCCAACACAGCGAAAACCGAACCAACAGCGTCCGAACCTTTAGCTAGATCATTTGTCATACTACCAGCATCAGCAATAACCCGACCGGTACTAACCAAGATCATAAACGTTTCGAACAAAGCTTTAGCTGTGATGTACCCATCTTGGATCAATTTACCACCGTACCAGAAGTCCAAAGCCCACGTGCATGACGTTAGGCTTTGCGACATGGCTAGTCCTATCCCTGCGAACCATGACTGACGTATGCTTTCCCTTCGTGGGTTTTCTTGGGCCTTTTCTAGCATTTTCATGATACGTTCTTGTGACGAAAAGGCTGTGATGGTTCGGACGTTGGAAACAGCCTCGGCTGCTAGTTTACTACTTTCGTCTTGAGCCTTGATTGCCTTTTTAGACATGTTCTTGAGTAGAACACGGCGAGTGTAGAAGCAAACAATGATCAGTGGTTGCACCGCGATCATTACAAGAGCTAACCTCCATGCGATGACTAGACCCATCGTGCATGCTATGGTCACAGCTGATATGGTTTGTACCAATAATGCCATCCTATCACCTACTAACGATCTCACCTATCATCAAACAAACAATATATTAGAGAAATCAAGAAACGTTATAATTAAAAGTTTGAATAATAAAATTCATGTACGTACCATGTTTAGTATTAAGAAACGTTATATAATATTTCATGTGCTTACCACATTGGCATCTTTTGCGAGTCTAGAGCAAATGGAACCGCTTGAGTTCTCATCTCTATCGAACCAACCAACTTCAAAGGTTAGCACCTTAGAGAGCATCCGTTCTCTGATGCGCTTAGTCAAGTATTCGCCCATGTAAGCGAAATTGTAATGCTGGCTGATGTTGATGAGGAAAGAAACCACTGCTAGGCCGACAAATGATAACGCGTAGATCATCGTTTTCTCCTTAATCTCGTCGTGGCTGGTCAAGAAATAAACCGATACCATCGACCCTAAAGAATATGCGTAGGCAGGCTGTATGGCACCAAACAAAGTTGCGCTTATGCAGCCGTATAACGCTTGCTTCCATTCCGGTAAATTCATTGCCAAGAGTCTCTTAAAAGATGGTAAAGGTGGCTTATCATCTTTAGCAAGATTCTTGACATTACTTGAACCTGTCACCGAGTTAGTAGAGCTTGACCGGCTAAGAGTAGAGACTCTTGAACAGCTTCTCAAGTCTTTGTTAGGATCCAAGATTGGACCTGTTTGCATATTGACGCTCATGTTCACACTTGAGTCTTCTTTTTCAATCTGTTGTAACCGGACTAGTGAAGCGTATTGACCATCTAGGTTCTCCATTAGCTCATCGTGTGAGCCAGTCTCAACAACTTGACCGTTTTGGACCACGGAGATAACATCAGCGTTGCGAATGGTTGAGAGACG